GGCAGCCCACCTTTGCCATGGATGCCTGGTGGGCCTGTGCATCAGGCCCCAGCTTTGATGGCTGCCTACAGATTAACCAAAGAATATGCTAGTCTCTTTAGGGTACGAGTATGAAAATACCTACCATGCAGATATGAAATACTCCCTAATTCTCTCCACGGTGAAACAACTGTCACCTTTTGTTGTTTCTCTAGTACTGGGGATGGAACCCTGGGCCTTGCACACACTAGGCAAACCCTCTACCATGGAGCTACACCCCAGCCCTTATTTTATTTTGGGGTATGGTCTCATTAAGTTACTGAAGCTGGCCTCAAACTCATGATCCTCCTGCCTCAGCCTCCAGAGTCACTACAGGTGGGCACTGCTGTGCCTGTCCTTAGCTGCCACCTTATCTATTTCACAGGCAAGGCAAGCAAAGCACAGGAGGTTAGCCAGCATGCCCTGTTAGGGGGCACCGCACTGGCCAGTGAGGGTGTGTGGATGGCTGAGGCCCACGCCCAACTCCTTCTCACGGACTCCTGCACAGCCCACGGAAGCAGACTGCTCCTGAAGAGAAGGGCTCCTTTCCTCTGCTCCAAGTTGTCACAAGATGATGAGCAGATCTGTACAGGAACAGGGAGAGAGCGCTGGGCACTTTGAATAGGGCTGTCTGTCCTTCTATACCCGAGGCAGGACTTAGGTAGCTGTAAGAGTTCTGGCATGTGGGCCCAGTGGCCCAGGCCTGCAAGCTCAGAGGCTCGGGAGGCGGATCATGAGTTTAAAGCCAGCCTCTGCATAAGTGAAGTGCTAAGCAACTCAGTGAGACCCTGTCTCTAAATAAAATACAAAGTAGGGCTGGGGATGGGGCTCAGTGGCCGAGTGCCCCTGAGCTCAATCCCTGGTGCCCTCCCACAAGAAAGTTCTGGCATGAAGATGTGTAGCTTGTTCCTCAGGCATCAGATTGGCCCTATGAAAAACTGATTGAACTAAAGAAACATGTTAATCATCCAGTTGTAAAACTGGTTTTCTTCTGATTGCTCAAATAGGCAATAAACACAATGACGAAACAGGAATCTCATCTTGAAACCAACCAAATTTCACATGAGTTTACTTTGCAGACCAAAAGCTGGGGGCGAAAAAAACAATGTGTCAGTAACTTGTCACTTTGTGTGTTCTAAGTTTACAGTTTTATATCACTCCTGGGAAAGAAGGAACAATAGTTTTCCATACTGGACCGGAAGAACACATCTATAAAGATAAAAATGGACAGCTAACGGTGGTGAGTGGCTGCCTTGGGGGTGGGGGAAGAGAAGCCTTTCAGAAGAGAATACAGGTTTAGAAAGTGGATTGCTTCTCCCCTCCATCCCCGATTCCACATCTGAGAGGGGAAAAAACGGACACTAGAAGCATGAAATTAAACACTGGAGGAGGCAAAGAGTCTGCCATGTTTAACTGCCAGTGAACCAGAGGCTGACGCGAAGTACTCACCCCTCAAACTTGTCTCCACGTGGAGCCCTTGTGCTGGAGTCCCCCTCAGACATCGTAATTTAGTTACAGGGGAGGAGAACCCGAGGCTGGGCACTTGGGGGCCCGGGCCTCCCTGACCAGGCCCCGTGCTGGGCCGAGGGTCCCCAGTCCACACCAGCAGGAGGACCAGCTTGTCTGGACCTAATGTTCCTTGGAAGTGAGATGTATAAATCAGAGGGGGCTAAATCATTAAAATGTCTTTCCTATTTATACCAAGAATTATTATTTGATACCATTTAAAGAGCAAAGTATCTCCTACACATTGAAACTTGTTTACCTATAAAAGTGTTTTGTGGATTTAACTTTTATAACACAATGGCCCCCTTTAGGAACAAGTTCAAGGGAGGACCATTTTGGATGTCAACTGACGGGGTGATTTTTCAGTTGACATGCATGTTTTCAAGCTTACACCCGAGAGACTGACCCTCTCTCCTTCAGTCCAACGGCCCCTCTTCCTTGGCAGCTGGCTCAGGCTGACGATGCCGACAGGCCTGTGAGCCACTTTCTACATCTACCTTGTCCCCTGGGGGGTGGGGCTGGCTCCTCAGCCCCCCACCCACTCTGTGGTGCAGAGGGCTGCGTGATGCAAGGGAGCAGCTGGTGTCTAAGGGGCGACTCTCCTAGGTGTCTGTTCGGAGGAAGTCCTGATACAGCATGAGGCCTGACCGTACCAGCGCTGCTTGTGTTCCAACTGAGAAAAGGACCGGAAAGCAGGAAAGAAGCCAGTTAGCTACGTGTTCAAGGAAAAATGCCAGCACCTCTTGGAAAAGGCCCCCTGTGCGGAGACTGAGTGGCATGTCACAGCAAAGGCCGACCCAGCTTCCCAGTGGCACTCATATTAGGACACCTTCTGAGAGCCCACCTCGAGTTGTCCACGGGGGTGGTTTTCAGCATCCCTGATAGACCCCCCCTCAACAGGGCATGTCCCAGGGTGGATGACAGATTCTCTACCTCCATCCAGCTGTTCAAGACAAATGTGTGGTCTGTGAGTAAGTAAATGAAATTTCATAAAGCTTCAAGACTTGAATTTTGCTTTAAATAAGTGAAACTTACAAGTTCAAGGATTTGGGTTCAGTTTCTGATGGGGGGAGTGAGCACCCGCATGGTGAAGGACGACTCTGCTTCCTCGCCCAGGACTTGGGTTTCAGTCCCACACCACAGGGCCGGGCTCCCCCCCTCCCCCCTCCCCTCCTCCCCTCCCCCCTCCCCTCCTCCCCTCCCACCGCAGCAACCACAGGTGTGCAGCACAACGCAGGTGCTCTGCCCGCTCTGCTGGACACTGCCTGGTGCAGTGGCTCCGTTGTGCTGGACATCCCTGAAAAGACCCAGAAATCACGTGGAAAGAGAAGCAGAATAGGACTTTTATTTTACATAGACCCACAAATGCCTGCACAAGGAGGTGTCCACTTCTAGAACTTACACATTTTCTTCAGCACAGACGGGAAAGCCAATGGCATGCTTAACTTGTTGGAGACTTTGGGTGGAGCCCTAAAGACAATGCACACCCAGAGGGACAGGCGAGCGGTGTCCCATGAGGATGCCGGGTAGCAGCTGGAGGGTCCAGGTGCAGGCGGACACCAGGGGTGGGGCAGCCGCAGAGGTCAGCCAGCTGAGCCGCAGGAAGCAGCAAAGGAGGATGTGCCAGGCGCGCTCGGAGGCACAGGCCCCCACCACAGTCAGATGACTTGAACTTGATCACCACAGACCAAAAGCTGTTCCCATTTGTTTTAAGGCTAAGCAACTACAACATAATAAGACCCTCCTCTTCACCAATCCCAGGGCCACTGTTTTACTCGGATGGTTCAGAAATACTGACTTTTGCCCTGGGTGCTGGCATCAGAAAGATCAGGTCTTTGTAGACCAAGCAGAACTTGGACCAGCCAACAGTGTTATTCACCATGGAATGTTTTACAGACCTGTTCAAAATCCCTGGGAAGCGACAACGAAAAACTATAGGTGCCAGGTCAGAGGAAAAGGAAGGCAGGGCCCAAGGCACAGGGCCCATCAGACGCGCCTCGAGCTCTCGCTCACACAAACGCTCACCGAACAACTCACACATGGCTTTTCCATTCCTCTAGAAAACATCAGGACTCACATTCACCTGAACTTTCTAAAAAAGTTTAACCCCAGTGACAGGCTGGCGTTTAAAACTCACACAGTATAAAATATTCACGAAACGTTTTGTAAGCTCCCTGTCCCAGCACTTAATAAAATGCAAATGTCCTAGTAGAAAAGTTCCCCACACAACAGTTCACAAAGCGCCTACCGGAAGTGACTTTCAGGCTCATCATGATTGCTTTAAAGTTCTACTTTAAAGTCACCACTGGATACAAAAGAAAGGCACAGGAAGGTGAGGTGCAAACCCCGTGAGACACACACAAAGTCAACCGCCTTAGGAACACGCCTGTCAAAGGCTGCCCATGTTGACACCTTTGGTATACAACAGCAACGGTCCCTTAGGAAGCACACAGACCCATCGTCCCTGCCACACACCTCTCCTGTCACTACTTTACCTCGTCTCAACCAGCCATCCGTCAGTCACAGTTCACTGCTGTCCCTGTGCAGGCACAGAGAGCTGGGAGGTAGGTGACTGAGAAAGTCCATCCCACACAAGCACCGGCCACAGCCAGGCTCCAACCTGGGCCACCGAGGGCCACACGCACACATCCCCACCCACAGTCACACACATTCCTTCAACAAACGTGAACTCAGACACAAAAGGGACCCAAAGGTATCTGTACCTCCTCACCTGTTCACCAACGGCCACTGTATTCTGTATAGAAATCAGAAAGACACAAGGGGCTCTCCAGGGGATGGCTGTTCATCGCAGGGAAGCCACCCAAGATAGACAAGCTCCCTTGGGGCGGGTGTGAGGGGTCCCCGCCTGATGCCAAGCCGGCAAGGCAGCTGGGGCCACACTTAATTTGTCACCACAGAGGCTAAGACAAGCTCAGCTCCACGGGGAAGGGGCCGAGAGGAGTGGGCCCTTGGAGCGGCACCTTGTGAGCTACACCTGGTGACCTTCTTGGAATGGAGTGGGTCAAGGACAGCAACCCAGAGGGGCAGGAGTCAGAGAAGGAGCCAGAAGGGAAGCTCAAGGCAGCTAGAGGCGTCCCCTGAAGGCCTAGGCTACGGGACAGTTGGGAGCAAGGAGTCCCTAGGTCCCAGCTGCACTGCTCTAAGCTGTACCTGTCAGTAAGTGCCAAGCACACAGCCCTGTCACACAAGGGACTTCCGCAGAGCCGCGGAGCGCCTGCTCAGTGCCTAGGAGCCAGGAGGCAGGCTGCGCAGGGTGGAGGGTCACCCAGCAGGCAGTGCAGGGACCCCCCCCCCCGCCCCCCCCCCCCCCCCCACCCCCCGTGCACGACCAGC